ATCCAAAGAGGAGATCCATAATACACCACAAGAGACGGAGACAGAGGCATCAGCAACAGCAGCAGCAGCAGCAACTGATGCAGCAACAGCAGCAACTGATGCAGCAGCAGCAGCAACAGATGCAGCAGCAGCAACAACTGATGCAGCAGCAGCAGCAACAACACCACTAGCTGCTGTATCCGCATCGCCAGCAGCAGCAGCAGCAGCAGCGGTGGCAGCAGAACGCATGCAACCGAGAGGAAGATGTGATTGTACCTCAACAAGAGAGACACGAGAACGGGAAGATAGCTGCCATGTTGCTGCGGCTGCTGCTGCTGCTCCTGCTGATGCTGCTGCTGGTGGTGTTGCGGATGCTGCAGCAACTGCCACATGCAGCAGCAGCAACACACCGCACAGACGATGTCGCTGCGGCGAAGCGACATCTGCTTGCCCCGATCCCCCTACAGATAGGTGCAGCGGTAGCCCTAGCCCTAGCCCTAGCCCTAGCAGCAGCAGCAGCAGCAGCAGGAGTAGCAGCAGCAGCAGCAGCAGCAGAAGTGTTGTGACTGCATTACTCTGTAAACCGCGCAGCCATTGGAGAGACGCAGAAATCTCCATCCTTAAGAACTCGCCAGACCAGCAGCAGCAGCAAGAAGCACAGCAGCAGCAAGAAGCACAGCAGCAACTGGGAGAAGAGCAGCAACAGCAGCTGGTGCAGCAGGAAGGGCAACAGCAAGTCAGCCCACTGCAGCAGCAGCCACAGCAGCAACAGGACGCGCAGCAGCAGCTAACGCGGCCACAGCAACCGGATATGCAGGAACAGCAGCAGCAGCAGCAGCAAGAAGAGCAGCAGCAGCAGCAGCAAGAAGAGCAGCAGCAGCAGCAGCAGCACGGGGCTCCCTCGCCATTAAAAGCGGCTGGCGCTGCTGCTGCCTCCGTAGAGCAATGCGTTTTTCTGTGACACAGCAGCAGCTGCTGCAGCAGCAAAACCTGTTGCTGCAGCAGCAACAGCAGCAGTAGCAGCAAAGCCTGTTGCTGCAGCAGCAGCAGCAACAGCAGCAGCAAGTTTTGCTGCTAAGTTCAACCTCAGTCATTCATGAATGACTGCAACATCACTTCGCTCCTCATTTTGTCTCACAAACCCTAAACCCTAAACCCTAAACCCTCAGCAGCAGCAAGGGAGTAGACTTCTGTTTTGCCGAGGTCCTTGCTGCAACAGACTGACTCTCTTAAACCCTACACACTAAAATGTGTGTTGCTGCTGCTGCTGCTGTTGCTGCGGCTGCGGCTGTTGCTGTTGCTGCTGTTGCTGTTGCTGCTGTTGCTGTTGCTGCTGTTGCTGTTGCTGCTGCTGCTATTGCTGCTAATGAAATTGAAACGGCCTTCTATTTACACCCAAACCCTAAACCCTAGCCACTCGCTTGCTGCACTACCTCAAGCATAAACCCTAAACCCTTAAAGTCTAACAGGCCCTTGTTAACAGCTTGCAGCTGCTACTGAATATGATGGGCTAGGGTTTAGGGTTTAGCGTTTAGGGCTGAAGTTTTAGGGTTTACCGTTTGGGGTTTCGGGTTTAGGGCTTAGGGTTTAGGGTTTACGGTCTAGGGTTTAGTGTACCAGCAAAGGAAGGGAGTCAAGAGGGCCTACTCTAGGGTAAACGCTAGGGTTTAGGGTTAGGGTTAGGGTTTACAGGCTAGACCACTTCCTCACATTGTAACTTTTATTTTCATATTTTATTCAGAAGAATTAGGGTTTAGGGTTTAGGGTTTAGCGTTTAGTGTGTAGGGTTTACGGTTTAGGGTTTAAGGTAGCGCAGCCGCCGCGGGGGGCCCCCGGGGCCCCCAAGTAATACGGCGGCGGCATCTTTTGTCTTGAGATAAATGCAAATGAGCGAAACCCTAAACACTAAACCCTAAACACTAAACACTAAATCATAAACCCTAAACCCTAAACCCTAATCTGCAGGTGCAAAATGGGAGAGATCGTTCCCTACCTCGACCGCGTTGACTATAACGTCCTGCACTACCCACCTATATCTCAGGCAAACCCTAAACCCTAAACCCTAAACCCTAAACCCCAAACCCTAAACCCTAAACCCTAAACCCTGACCCAAGACATAAACCCTGAGTTCCTAAGGAGGCCCAAGGAGGCTGCCGCCGCCTCGGCGCTCGCTGCAGGCCTTTCTTGTGTCCGCTGATCTTCTAGGGTTTAGGGTTTAGGGTTTAGGATATAGGGTTTGTGCAACAGGTAACAGAGGCATTTCCTCAAGAAGGACAACCGGAGCGCCGCGTCTCCCTCTGTCGTTGTTGGCAGTCGAGGAAATTCCCATACTGTGATGGCGCCCATAAGGTAAGGGTTTAGGGTTTAGGGTTTAGGGTTTAGGGTTTGGGGTTTAGGGTTTAGGGTTTTTTTGTTTGTTCATTGAGGAGGGAATTGCAGATGGGTCTTCTTTTAGTCATGCTGAGGGTTTAGGGTTTAGAGGAAGAACTTCTTCGACTGTAACATCTACAGCAACTTCTAGGGTTTAGGGTTTAGGGTTTAGGGTTTAGGGTTTGTGTATATCTCAGGCATTAGTTCAACATGGGGATAATGTTGGTCCTTTTGTCGCTATTCTTCGCAGCAAGGATCACATAAAAAATATGCAGGTGCTGCTGCTGCTGTTGCTGTTGCTGCTGCTGCTGCTGTTGCTGTTGCTGCCGTTGCTGTTGCTGCTGCTGTTGCTGCTGTTGCTGTTGCTGCTGCTGATTTGCTGCAATTTGTTGCATTTATTCCTTTTGCCCTCGCAGAAAGCGCGGCAGCAGCAGCAGCAGCAGCAGCAGCAGCAGCAGCAGGCAAGAGGAGCAGCATTTCGTATGGCTTCTCGTGCTACTAAAGGATCTGTTGTGCTTGCAGGTAATCTAGCTGTTGCTGTTGCTGCTGCTGCTATTGCTGCTGCTGCTATTGCTGCTGCTGCTGCTGCTCTTGCTGTTATTGCTGCTGCTGCTGTTGCTGTTGCTGCTATTGTTGCGGTTGCTGTTGCTGCTGTTGTTGCTCGCTCTGATGGCATCGTCGCCTCTACACTCTTGCTGTTACTGCTACTGCTGCTACTGCTGCTACTGCTGCTGCTACTGCTACTGCTGTTGCTGCTGTTGCTGCTGCTGCTGCTGCTGCTGCTGCTGCAGGTGCAATAACAGGAGGAGTATGTGGTTATATGTTGGCTAGTTGTATAAAAAAGAGAAGAAATTCATCAACACAATTTCTTAGCAAAACTCCTCCTCTTATTAACCCTACACTACCTAATTATAACTAAATAGCTAGCTAGCTAGCTAGCTAACTAACTATTTAGTTAGTTAGTTAGTTAGCTAGCTAGCTAGCTAGTTAGGTAGGTAGGTAGGTACTTAGCTAGCTGGCTGGCTTGCTAGCTGGCTGGCTTGCTAGCTGGCTGGCTAGCTGGCAAACAGGTTAGCTAGCTAGCTAGCTGGATGGAGGCCTCTAGGCCCGTAGCCTCAGCCTGATTAGATAGCTAGCTAGCTAGCTAGCTAGCTGGGTAGTTGGCCAGCTAGCCAGCTAATTTGCTAGCTAGTTCCTTGGTTAGCTAGCTAGCTAGCTAGCTAGCCAACAAATCTAATTTTTGTTAAGTTCCTTTCATGGAAATGCAGACACAAACTACTTTGCTGGTGCTCCCTGCAGCAGCAGCAGCAACAACAGCAGCAGCAGCAGCAGCAGCAACAGCAGCAGCAGCGGCAACAGCAGCAGTTCTAGTTGTAGCAGCAGCGCCACCCAGCGGGGGGGAGTGTCCCCTCCCTAGCTAGCTAGCTAAATAACTAGCTGACTAGATGGCTATTTAGCTAGCTAGCTAGCTAGCCAGCTAGACACCGCCATTGATGGTTGTTAGTTAGTTATTAGAACCCTTTTGTGACTCTAAACCCTAAACCCTAATTGTCTTCGCGTAAACCCTTTTTTTTTCTCCCCCTTGTCTAAACCCTAATCTCTGCTCCTCTCTTTGTCAAAACCCTTTCTCTTATCTAAACCCTTTTTTTATGTATTTATATAAACCCTAATTTGCTGCTGTCTTTGCGTCTTTGTTGTGCTGTGTCTTCGAGTTCGGCTCCAAAACCCTCTAAAAGGGTTTAGGGTTTAGGGTTTAGGGTTTGGGGTTTGGGGTTTAGGGTTTAAGAACCCTCATACGGTAACTAGCGTTTATTGACTGGGAACTAGGGTTTAGGGTTTAGGGTTTAGAAGATGAATTACGGCTCCAGGAGTAGATGCTGTTACTGCAGCACGAACACCGCTCGCTCCCCTTAGGGTTTAGGGTTTAGGGTTTAGGGTTTGGTGGTTGTGTTGTTAGTAGCAACTCACTCAATTTTAGTGGCCGCTTCTTCATAGACACATTTAAAAAAGGGTTTTGCTGCTCCTCCTTTTGCAGCAGCGGCTGCAGCGCCCGCTGCTGCTGCTGCTGCTGCTGCAGTCGGCAGCGCTGGGTGAGCAGCAGCAGCAGCAAAGAAGGGGCAGCAGCAGCACAACGTGACATAGAATAAGACCCTAAAACCCTAATTTTTATTAAACCCTAATTTATAATAAACCCTAATTTATTGTTGAGGAAGGCCAAGGATCTCGATGGAGTTGTGGCTGCCCCAGTGCAGCAGCAGCAGCAGCAGCTGGAGCTGCAGCAGCAGCAGCAGCAGCAGCAGCAGCCCCGACACTATCGAGGGAGCGTTTCCTCTCTTAGGCATCCATCGCCTTCCCTACACTGCAGTAGCAGTGAGTGTGTATGCAACAGCAGCAGCAGCAGCAGCAACAGCAATTCCTTTGCTCTGCTGCTGCCACGGGAACGTCCAGCAGCAGTAGCAGCAGCAGCAGCAGCAGCAGCTGCAGCTGCAGCAGCTCCACCCAAAGAGGTGTCTATACATCACAACAAGTCTACAAATCCACGAGTTCTCAACTCCTCAGCAGCAACATCAGCAGCAGCAGCAGCAACAACAGCAGTGGCAGCAGCAGCAACAGCAGCAGCAGCTGCTACGGATCAGAGCCTAGTCGGTGCAGCACCAATTGCATCTGTTGCACCTTCTGCTGCAGCTGCAGCACGCTATAGGCGACAGCAGCAAGTGCAACAACAGCAGCAGCACCCCTAGCAGCAGCCCTACTACCCCTAGCAACAACAATAACAACAACAGCAGCAGCAGCAACAACAACAACAGCAGCTGCAGCAGCAGCAGCACGACGATGCAGTACTCACAGCCCCAGCTGCAGCCTCCACCTTCTTACCATTTCTCCTCTGTCCCTGATGCTGCCGTTGGTGGCCCCTTGATGGCCCCTGCTGCTGTAGACTTCTCTCAGCTGCAGCAGCAGCAGCAGCAGCAGCTGCAGCAACAACTGCAGCAACAGCAACAGCAGCCACTAGCCCTACCATTCGATTCAAGTTTTGCTCTTCAGGGGGCCCCTGGTGGGGGCCCCCTCCCTGATGATGCCTTTGCCTCATCATACCCACCATCAGCAGCAGCAGCAGCAGCAGCAGCAACAGCAGCAGATGCATCCCCTGCAATGGTTGGTGCTGCTGCTGCTGCTCCTCCTCCTGTTCTATCCGAAGCAGAAGTTGAGGTGTATGCGCAGCTATGGAGAGAAGCATTAGGTCTAGATGGACCATTGGACCAGTCAGCAGCAGGACAGCAGCAGCAGCAGCAGCAGCAATATCTTAATGGTGCTGCTGCTGCTGCCTTCTTAGAGAGAAGCGGACTGCCACAGGAGACACTGCATGCAATCTGGGGATTAGCAGACACAGCTAATGAGGGAAGGTACGTGCTGCTGCTGCTGCTGCTGCTGCTGCTGTTGGTGCTGCTGCTGTTGTTGCTGTTGCTGCTGCTGCTGCAGTTGTTGCTGCTGCTGCTTGTACAGCGAAAGGCGATAAGTTGCTGCTGCTGCTGCTGACTATCTCCTTTTTTCTTACTTTTTCTGCAATAATTAATTAATTAATTAAATAATTAATTAAATAAACTATTTATTTATTTATTTATTTATTTATTTATTTATTTATTTATAGGTTAGATGCTGCTGCCTTTGCTCGTGCTTGCCGTATGGTTGCCTACGCACAACATGATCTAAATATACAACTTGCATGCGCACCAGGTATGCTGCTGCTGCTGCTGCTCCTGCTGCTGTTGCTGCTGCTGCTGTTGGTGCTGCTGCTGTGCTGGTGCTGTTGTTGTGGTTGCTGCTGATGGCCATTTTTGGTGCTGCTCTAGTAGCACCAGCAGCAGAAGCTGCTGCTGCTGCTGCTGCTGTCTACGTTGTTGCTGCTGTTTGGATTGCTGCTGCTGATGTCTTGCTGCTGTTGCTGCACTTCTTGCTGCAGTAGCTGTTACTGCAGCAGCAGTACTTGCTGTAGTTGCTGTTAATGTTTCTCCTCATGTTATCGTGCTGCTATTGCTGCTACTGCTGCTACTGCTGCTGCTGCTGCTGCTGCTGCAGATGCTGCACCTCCCCCTGCACTACCAAACTTTAATGTTGCCCCCTCTTGGAGATCTGCCGAGCCACCAAGCCGTAAGCAACTCCGCCAACGCATGCAGCAGCAGCAGCAGCAACAGCAGCAACAACAGCAGCAGCAACAGCAACAGCAACAGGTAATGTATGTGTATGTGTATGTGTATATGTATGCAGCATTTTTATCAAGTGCTGCTGCTGCTGCTGCAGTATCTTATGCACCAACAGCAGAGGAGCTGCAGCAATATATATCTTTATTTGCTGCAGCAGATAAGGAAGGAAAAGGAATATTAACAGGAGAAGAATTAAGACCTTTATTTGCTTCTGCATGTCTTCCTGCTGCTGATCTTGCTGCAGCATGGGCAGCAGCAGACACAGATGCTGATGGATCCCTTTCTTCTTATGAATTTGCTGCTGCTATGTCTCTTGCTGCTAAAAGGAGACAGGGGGCCCCTATACCTTTGCTGCTGCCACCAGAGCTGCAGCCGCATGTGCTGCAGCAGCAATATAAGAGACTACAGCAGCAGCAGCAACAACAGCAGCAGCAGCAGCAAATACAGCAGCAACAGCAGCAGAATGCGCTGACGGATTGGGGTTCGGGGTTTGACGCCTTTGGGAGTTCTGTGGATGCAGCAGCAGCAGCGACAACTGCAGCAGCAGCAGCAGAAGCAGCAGCAGCAGCAGCTGATGTAACAGGAGAAGGAGAAGCAGATAGCAGCAGCAGCAGCACAGCAGCAAACAGAGACAGCAGCAGAAGAAAGTCCCGCAGCACTTCCCCTCGCAGTAGCAGCAAAACAAAAAGTAAAGGAAGAGCACGCAGCAGCAGCAGCAACGAGGATACAGCAGCAGCAGCAGATAAACGAGGTGGCCGCAGCAGCAGCAGCAGCAAACGCAAAGATCAGAGACACAAGAAGCAGCAGCAGCAGCAGCAGCAGCAAGGAGATGCAGATAACGCTGAGCTAAATACCTCGTGGAGTATAGAGGGGGATTGGCTATCCTCTGACGAAGACCAACACAGCAGCACAGGAGAGCAGCAGCAGCAGCAGCACGAGATGCTGCAGCACAAACAACAGCAGCAGCAGCAGAAGCGTAGGCAGCAGCAGAAGGAGCAGCAGCTGCTGCTGCAGCAGCGGCACGAAAGCTTTGACGACCTCGATGCTGATGATCGATTCTCCCTTGACTTACCTTCTTCGTTGCTGCAGCAGCAGCAGCAGCAGCAACTGCTGCAGCAGCAACGCAGACAGCTGCAGCAGCAGCAGCAACAACAAGCAAGAAATGGCCTCTCTGAGGGAGGAAGAGAAACAGCAAACTCAGCAGTAGCGCTGCTAGAAAGTGTCGTCGAGGTACGCACCAAGGGTTTAGGGTTTATGGCTTAGGGTTTAGGGTTTAGGGTTTAGGGTTTAGGGTTTAGGGTTTAGGGTTTAGGGTTTAGGGTTTAGGGTTTTTTTGTGTGTTATTGTGTTGCAGTGCGACAAACGTTTAGCAACATTAATGGGTGTAGAGGTAGATCTTGCTGCTGATGAGTTGCTGCAGCTAAGGTCTGTTGCTGCTGCGCTGCAGCAGCAGCTAGTAACAGAGAAGCAGCAGCTAGCAGCAGCAATTGATCGACGCAAAGAGTTTGAAGTTTTGCTGCAGAGGGAGAGAAATAAATTACATAAATTACAGGAAGCAAGGAGAGAAGTATGCTCCTGCTGCTGCTGCTGCTGCTGTTGCTGCTGCTGCTGCTGTTGGCGATACAGATCCTGCTGCTGCTGTTGCTGCTTATGCTTCTCTCTGCAGCAGCATTAATAATCTAATGTGTCTGCGGCTCTCTGTGTGTCTGTCTGTGTGTGTGTGTCTCTAAACCCTAAACCCTAAACCCTAAACCCTAAACCCTAGTTGGAGATGGAGCGTATAGGGGCAAGTAGAGACATTCGTCACTATCAAGAAGAGCTGCTGTTCCTGCAGCAGCAAGTTGCTGCAGCAGAAGCAGATCTTAGATCTCTTGCTGATGCTGCTGATGGTACACGCATGCAGCAGCAGCAGCAGCAGCAACATCTAGAGGCTCTTGATGCAGAGAGAAGGTAAGGTGCTGCTGCTGCTGCTGTTGCTGTTGCTGCTGTTTCTGCTGCTGTTGCTGCTGCTGTTTACGACTTTGCTATTGACTGTCGTGCTGTTGCCATGTTGCTCTCCACTGCAACGGCTGCAGCAGCGGCAGCAGCAGCAACAGCAGCAGCAGCAGCAGCGTCTGTGTTCCTTGTCTGCTGCAGAGGAGCATTAGAAACCCTAAAGGCAGAGAAAGATCTCCTCGCTAAGGAGGAGAGGGAAATCGAGGAATTAAAGGTAATTAGCTGCTGCTGCTGCTGCTGCTGCTGCTGCACTTGTTGGTGCTGCTGCTGTTTCTGTTGCTGCTGCTCCTGGTGCCGGTGCTTGCACTGAGGCCTGCTACAACAACTATCGATTGCCGGGGAGTTCTGCTCAGGGTTTAGGGTTTAGGGTTTAGGGTTTACTAGGGTTTAATGTTTGTGTGCATGCTGCTGCAGTTGCTGCTGCAACGGCTGCGGCGGGAGAAGGCAGACAGCCAATCACAGCATGCGGTGCTGCAGGAGAAGCTGCGCCAGGTAGGGAAGGGAAAATTAGGGTTTAGGGTTTAGGGTTTAGGGTTTGAGGGTTAGGGGTTTAGTGGGGAGAGGCAGCTTGGTGTATTCGAACGGCAGTGCTGCCTTAAAGACCTCAAATTAGGGTTTAGGGTTTAGGGTTTAGGGTTTAGGGTTTGTGTTCAGACGGAGCACGACGTGCTGCTGCAGCGATCTGCCTTAGACTCAACGCATGCAGAGACAATCACTACGCTGCAGCAGCGAGTGCAGCAGCAGCAGCAAAAGCAGAAACTTGTTGCAGAGCTTAACCAACATACCCAGGTCTGCTGCTGTTGCTGCTCCTGTTGTTGTTGCTGTTGCTGCTGCTGTTGCTGCTGCTGTTGCTGCTGCTGGTGCTGTTGCTGCCGGTGCCTCTCTTTTTGCTGCTCGGGTTTAGGGTTTAGGGTTTAGGTCTTAGGGTTTAGGGTTTGTGTGCAGGAGACATGGGCAGCACAGCGTCTGCAGCATGCATTAGATGGACCAAACTCCTTCATGTCTCGTCGCGGTGCTGCTGCTGCTGCTGCTGCTGCTGCTCCTGCTGCTCCTCCTGCTGCTTGGGGATCTATGGAGGTGCCGCAGCAAAGAAGGGACCCTAAGGGAATTCCTACGAGCAGCAGCGGAGGATTTTTTGTCTCCTCCCCTAACCATAGACAGCATAAAACTATCGTTAGTTGCTGCTGCTGCTGCTGCTGCTGCTGTTGCTGCTGCTGTTGCTGCTGTTGCTGCTGTTGCTGTACTTCCTACTGCTGCTGCTCTCATTGGTTGTGCTGCTACATCTGTCAGTTGGTGCTGCTGCTGCCGTCACGTTCTGCTGCTGTTGCTGTTATTGCTCTCATTGCTGTTGTTGTTGTTGTTGCTGCTGCTGCTGCTGCTGTTGCTGCTGCTGCAGGACTCGAGCCCTCCACCCTCTAATTGGAGGACATTTAAGACTCCTGCTGCTGCTGAGCCAAGTTTGCTGCGTGGCAGCACTGCAGCAGCAGCAGCAGCAGCACTGGGCATCACGGATATACCCCATCTAACTACTTCTTCTTCTGCTGCTGCTGCTGCTGACAGCAGCAGCAGAGACCTCCGTAGACACCTAGAGGGCCTCTCTATAGATAGTGTTAAAAGTGATACTGCTTTCGTAAGTGCTGCAGTTGCTGCTGCAGTTGCTGCTGCTGTTGCTGCTGCAGTTGCTGCTGCAGTTGCTGCTGCAGTTGCTGCTGCAGTTGCTGCTGGTGCTGCTTCACCAAAAGGTGCTGACATCGGTTCTCCCCCTTGGGGTGCATTCACGCTTAATGCTGCTGCTGATGCTGCTGCTGCTGTTGCTGCTGCAGTTGCTGCTGCTGTTGCTGCTGCAGTTGCTGCTGCAGTTGCTGCTGCAGTTGCTGCTGCAGTTGCTGCTGGTGCTGCTTCACCAAAAGGTGCTGACATCGGTTCTCCCCCTTGGGGTGCATTCACGCTTAATGCTGTTGCTGATGCTGCTGCTGCTGTTGCTGCTGCTGCTGCTGCTGCAGGGTGATCTGCCACATTTAGGCAGTCGGCGCAATGATGCGCAGCAAACCGCATTCGGCGAACGGCTCATCTGTAAGTTTAGGGTTTAGGGTTTAGGGTTTAGGGTTTAGTTAGGGTTTAGGGTTTAGGGTTTATTGTTAGTGTGCCGTTTTGGATGAACCAATGTTTCTGTTGTTAATGCATCCCCTACGGCGTGTTATATACCTGCTGCTATTTGTTGCTGCTATTTGCTGCTGCTGCTGCTGCTGCTGCTGTTGCTGCTGCTGCTGCTGCTGCTGCTGCAGCAGGTGGCCGTGAGGTGTCTAGTTCGAAGGAGTCTTTGCCTCGAATTGAGAGATCGACAAATCATCAAAGAGAACAAAAATATAAAGATAAAAAATCATCAGATAAATCTGTTAGTTGCTGCTGCTGCTGCTGCTGCTGCTGCTGCTGCTGCTGTTGCTGTTGCTGTTGCTGTTGGTGTTGCTGTTTGCTGTTGCTGCTGGTGTTGCTGCTGCTGTTGCTGCTGCTGTTCCTGTCTTCTGTATTTTGTAATTTTGCTGCTGCTGGTGTTTGTGGGAAGAGTTTAGCTGAGGCATGTGCTACTGTCACTATTGCTGCTGCTGCTGCTGTTGCTGCTGCTGTTGCTGTTGCTGCTGCTGTTGCTGCTGCTGCTGCTGCTGCTGCTGTATGGTTCTTATTGTATGGTGTATGTGGATGTGCAGAGAGGCTCAAGTATAGAAGACAGACATCTTCTATCAGGGATAGAAACACCCTCCTTTGGTGCTAGATCTTAATTGCTGCTGCTGCTGCTGCTGCTGCTGCTGTTGCTGCTGCTGTTACTGCTGCTGCTGCAGTTGGTACTGTAGTAGTAGTAGTAGCTTTTGCTGCTGCCGTTGGTGCAGCAGCCATAGTAGCAGCTTTTGCTGCTGTTTTAGGTACAGCAGCAGCACTAGTAGCAGCTTTTGCTGCTGTCTTTGCTGCAGCAGGAGAAGCAGCTCAACAGACAGCAGCAGAAGCAGCAGCAGCAGCAGCAATCAGACGCACAACAACAACCGGCTTCTCACGCTGGTTGTCTGCAGCAAGTAGCTGCTTTTGCTGCTGCTGCTGCTGCTGCTGCTGCTTCTAGTTTTTTAAGCAGCTGTACAGATACAAGGAGGTTATTTGCTGCTGTTAGCAGCAAACCCCCCAAGGCTGTGGGGCCCCACAACTCGATCCCCATATCCATTAAGTCGATCCCCAATAGATCCTGCTGCTGCTGCTGCTGTTGCTGCTGCTGCTGCTGCTGCTGTTGTTGCTGCTTCTGTCCTTGCTGCTGCTGTTGGTGCTGTTACTGCCATGGATTTGTCCTGGGCGGATGGCAATAGGAAGGGGAGGCAGCCGAGATGCCCTCTGCTGCTCACGAGCTGCAGCAGCAAACGCTTTGCTGCAGTTGCTGCTGCTGCTGCTGCTGCAGGGGGGCCAGATCCTATATATATAATACATATATAAGTAATATAAATATAAACAGGAATATATATAATATATATATTATATTTATATACTATTATTACTATTTATTTATATTGGTAGTAATAAAAATAGTAATATTAATGTAAATAAATACATACAATTTAGTAACTAACTAAGTAACTAACTAGCTAACTAAGCGTATAAATAAATAAATAAATAATTATATAAATAAATAAATAAATAAATAATTAGATAAATAAATAAATAAATAAATGAATAAATAGTAGATAACATCCACAATATATATTCGTTTGTTATTATTGGACAGTAACGCGGTTGTCTAGACATGAAGTATTTTATTTATTATAAATAAATATATTTATTTATTTATTTATTTTAATTAATTAATTAATTAATTAAATTAATAAAAGAATAACAAATAAAGAAAAAACACAAGAAGCAAAGAAGAAGAAATACGCCAAGTGGGGCTGCTCGGCGCATGCAGCCTCTACGACCGCCAGGTTTAGGCTTTAGGGTTTAGGGTTTAGGGTTTAGGGTTTTGAATTTTGTGCTTTTTTGTAAGATTTAATTTATTATTATTAGGGAGCGTATATTTACTCCAATATAGCGGGAAAAGCATCAGCAGCAACAGCAGCAGCAACAACAACAACAGCAGCAGCGGCAATAACAGCAGCAGGCTTGGCTCCTAGTTCTTGTTATAAGGATATTTCTTTGTATTTTTCTTATCTTTTTCTTTATACAAATAAATACATTTATTTGTTTCCTTTTGTTGCTGCAGCAGATCAAGGTGCAACATTTGCTGCTGCTGCTACTGCTGCTGCTAGGAGAGCTCTGCTGCAGTGCATGCATTGTTGCTGCTAGAATCAAGACTGCTATAGCAGCAGCAGCAACAACAACAACAACAGCAACAGAGTCTAAGGATTAGACGCAGCAGCTGCTGCATCTGCTGCATCTGCTGCAACAGCTGCAGCACAGTTCAGGGTGTGTGTGAATTTGCTGCTTCTGTTTCTGCTGCTGCTGCTGCAGTTGCTGCAGCAAATCTAAAAGCAGCACATACACCATAGAAAAAGCTCTATAAGCAGCAGCATCTGCTGCATTACTGCAGCAGCACCACAGCGACAAAAGCAACAACAGCAACCCATCAGCAGCAACAGCAACAGCAGCAGCAGCAGCAGCAGCAGCAGATTTGGACTAACTCCGCGGACGCGACAATTTCTTATTAAATAAGATAGGCAATATGGTACGTCTTCCCTAACATATAGCTAGTTACCTAGCTAGCTAGCTAGCTAGCTAGCTAGCTAGGTAGGTATCAATCCATTTAGCCACCTAAATAACTAACCAGCTAGCTAACTAACTATCTATCTATCTATCTATCTATCTATCTAATTAGTAATTAAAATATAATTAAATATATATATAAATATACATATAAATAATACGTATAAATATACAAAAAACCCGTAAATATACATATATACATATATATATAATAATTTTTTTCCTTTTTTTTTCCCCCCCTAACAAAAGTATATATATAAATATATAAATAAATAGATAAAAATGAATAGAATAAATAAATAAATAAATAAATATATTGTTTGTATGTTTGTATACAGTTTTATGTAACATTTTTACAGAAATTAGCACAAAAAAATAGCGAAGTAATTGTTGAATTAAAAAATGATTTACAGATTTGTGGTATTTTACATTCTGTTGATTTATATTTAAATATTAAATTAACACAAGTTAATATTAATGATCCAGATAAATGTCCACATCTAGTACGTTTGTTCCTGCTGCTGCTGCTGCTGCTGCTGCTGCTGCTGCTGCTGCTGCTTATGGTGATGGTGCTTATGTGGTGGTGCTAGTGATGGTCGTGGTGTTATCTGTTGATTTATATTTAAATATTAAATTAATACAAGTTAATATTAATGATACAGATAAATGTCCACATCTAGTACGTATACTAGTCTTGTTGCTGCTGCTGCTGCTGCTGCTGCTGCTGCTGCTGCTGCTGCTGTTAATGGTGGTGGTGCTTCTGTGGTGGTGGTGATGATGCTGCTGTTGTCTGTTGATTTATATTTAAATATTAAATTAATACAAGTTAATATTAATGATCCAGATAAATGTCCACATCTAGTATGTTTATTCTTATTATTCTTGTTGTTGTTGCTGCTGCTGTTGTTGTTGTTGTTGTTGCTGCTGCTGCTGCTGCTAATTGTGGTGGTTGGGGGGGGTTGCTGATTTTTTTCGTTGTTTTTGGTGATTATGGGGATGTTGATGCTGTTGCTGCTGCTCCTGCTGCTGCTGCTGCTGCTGCTGCTGCTGCTGCTGATTTTATTTTTTGCTGCTGTTTACTTTATTTATGTTGTTGCTGTTTGTGCTGCTGTTGCTGCTGCTGCTGCTGCTGCTGCATATTACATATCTATCTCGTATTAACTCTCCTTCTGCTCCTGTTGCGTGTGCACCTGCTGTTGCTGCTGCTGCTGCTGCTGCTGCTGCTGCTGCTGCTGCTGCTGCAGTTATCCGTAAGGAATTGTTTTATAAGAGGATCTGCTGTTCGTTATATACATATGCAACCTGCAGATGTTGATCTTCCTTCCTTAAGGGATTTATGTAGGGAAGAAAATAAAAGTAATCAAGAAAACAAAAATAAATAAATAAATAAATAAATAAATATATTTATTTATTTATTTATTTATTTATTTATTTATTTATTTATATTTATTATTTTAATTCATTTATTTAATTTAATTTCCTTCTTTTTGTTCTTTTCTTTTTCTTCTCTCTCTTCTTACATTAATTATGTATTCCTCTAGGAAATACCCAGCAGCAGCAGCAGCAGGTGCTGCTGCTGCTGCTGCTGCTGTTGCTGCTGCAGGAACAGCAGCAGCAG